AATAGAAATTATAGGAAAATAAGTTAATTTAAATAAGCCACCCTAATTAAAATATATAAGAAAATGTTATATAATTAATTTTAAAATCGATATTTATAACTTACAGTGAGATAATAAAAAAATATAAACTATTTCATAAAGAGGTTTTTGAAAAGTAGTGAACTACAACAACAAAAATTCTTTTTTATATTATTTGAATTAATTGAATTTTTGGCTGTCCGTACGGCTGTTTCGAGTATTGTCAAATACCCATTATCAGTGGTCTTGGAAATAATTCTTGTATTAATTTATTTATAAATAATTTTTTGAGACTGTATTTATTGGTTTCAAAATACTTAATTTCCTTTTGTCAGTTTTAAGTAGACGTATAACATATGTGTTATGGAATGTATCTAAACATTTAGTTTTGAAAAACTAACATATTTAAATTTTACTGTCTTTTTTTCAGGTCATATTTATCTAAGATCTGTAAAGATGTAATATCAGAACTATTTTTGAAAGTTGGTTGATATGAATTCAATAAATTTAGTGTTTATGCATTGTAGCTAATACAATAAATAATAACTTATAATAGTAATATAATAAATATAATATCTTAAATAAACTTCACAAGCAATTCCGAGTTTAGTCTTTTCTTTCTCATACATCATGTGCGGTTAGTATTCCCTCAACCTAATTACTTACTTTCTTACTTAACTTAACTTAACTGTCTTTCCAGTCGCTTCTGCTCCGTGCGCGCTTCTTCTGTCTCGTACAATAAGTCCAGTAAGTGCTCCATCGGTTTACCTTTACGCGGTCTTTCCCCAACTACCGACTCAAATATCTTTTTCGTTGGAGCTAATCCAGCGATGCCATATTAATTCGCTGTGAGTTATATTAATATCATAATAAAGTCCGTACAGCTCGTGATTTATTCGGATGTGGTAGTTGTCGCCAACTTATAAAGGATCATAAATTATTTTTCTCGAAAACTTCCAGTGTTCTCAAGCTAATTACCCCACCGATTAAATGATTTTTTTGCTGTTGTAGCCCGCCAGGATCTGAAAAGCAGATAACATTTAAGGAATAAAAGACGAATGCTCGGGTTGGGACGTGAATGGGTGGTGTTTGGGTTAAGGATAGAGGAAAAAAGGGTAGGGGAAGGGAGTATATACTTTAAACTAAGCTAGGTTCAGCTGCATGAATATAGCCACTTCTAGATGGTGAGTGTAAAAGTCAATTGGACTTAGATTCATATGCGTAGAGGTACAAGAAAACAGACGGGCGACGTCATGGGCGTAGAGCTGCAGTTTGGGCACACATTGAAAATAGACGTGTTTATGCGTGACAAGTAACTGTTTAGCACATGGTTATACCCTGATCTCAATAGAGCTAGGACAGTTTGTGCTGTACGGGGGAAACGTCGTTCTTCCTGAGAAATAACAGGCGGAGGCCTCTTGAGAAGCTTGCTGTGAGTTAACTTAGAAGTATACTGCATCTGTGTGGAGTGCTATAAGTTCACGTTTGTATTCGACCTCACAGATGTTAGCTGCATTGCAATAGGTGTCGATATGGTTTTGCAAGGAAGCAATGGATCGACATATACATCTTGAAGGGAGGGCTTTATTAGCTATGGCGCCATATGGATATCCATCAGTGCGGTACATAAAATTATCTTCGCTTTTGTCTTCTTCCTATAACCTCTTTCTTTCAGATACCGTTTTCGCTTAAGAATTTTTTTCTATACTTATGACATTATGAAGAGAGAGAAGTTGCTGATAGTGAATAACTTCTGAATAATGCATAATAATGATGATAAAGTTTGTACAGTTCAGTAATTCACATAAATGTGGTATTTTTCGTCAATTTAAAGGAAATCAAAATCTTATGATTAGATATTCTTACGAAATATCTATAATACTGATAGGTTAAAATGATACTGCGTTGTCATATGAGTATTACAAATATTATTACATCTGCATTTATATGCGCCTTATAGAGTGTATATCTGAATAACTACTTTTCATGTGACACACAATACATACAAGAATACTTTATTATAACATCGCTTTTATATGGAATACAGTAAGGTAAAATAGGATTTAGTAATTTCAAAAATTTTAGATTTTGTGCTCGACTTATTTGCAGAGCTCAATGTATTCGTACAAACTGTGATAAAACTAATTTTCCATCCATAAACTGCAATGGTCGAAATGGAAAAAAGATTTTAAAAAATAGGATGTAATTATTTTTATTATTTTTGTTCTTTTTTTTCAATTTTTCTTTAAGTTATCCTGAAGCTAAAAAGCAAAACATCAAACAGGAAAAATAAATTCTTTTGTGCCAATAAAGCAAATTGTTAAATGAAATCGATTTTCATTGAAATTATTTTTATTTTTGCTTTTCTTACTGTAGCTGGCAGGTTTGTGCATTTCCTATTGTTGTTGGCATAGTTGTTGCTGTTGTCCTGGAATTGCTTAATATGGTGCCGATAGCTATGCTCAATAGCGCATATGTTGTTAACAGTTTTCCATTTTGTTGATTCAAATACACTAACCATGAGTCAGTAAGCCTGTTTGGCTGGTAATGGTTTCGAATAAGTTCATTGGTAGGGAAGTACTAGTATGAAAGTATGAAGGACATCTTGGTTTCATATTGTACTATATGAGTATGGATTATACGTACATATATGCAAGCAATGCGTTGCATATATAACTTTGAACTCATGATAATGCTATTTATCTTGAAGCAAAAATAGTTTACAGCTAATAAATTTTGAAATTAATCCCACAAAATGCAATTAAAGCTATTATATCTTCACATTATTGGCTTAATATTGGTTACAAATTAAATGATTTCCTTTAACTTATAAGTACGTATAAAAGATGTATGTATCGTGTTATACGCACAAGATATTTATGAATTTATTATTGAATTAATTACGATTTATTTCCTTGTTGACATATTGAATAATGTGTGAAGAATCTAATTATTTTTGTATTCGCCATAAATTTAAGTGGTGTAATCATAAATTTGATTTATTATTCTGCTTTATGATTCATTTTAATTCAATCTGTTGATTTAATTTTTTACTCTTTTGCATTTTTCAAACATTTCAGAAAAGTGAAAACATTTTAATGGTTAAATATTGACATTTTTTTAAACACTTTTTATTAATTTTATAGTTTTACAAACCCATACCATATATGAAAATAATTACCTTTTATTAAACATAAATAGAACTTTTATCTAGTCCAATGTATTTACTCCAATGTGTAGTTAATCGGATTCGAGTCACGTAAATATACATGCCACAATAATAAAAATACAATTCGGCTTAAGCAAATATCTATTGAAACATTGTGTTTTCATATGTTTACCCCCTGCCGTATGATTACATACTCGTGGCGTTATTAAGCCCATTTTGGTCAGTAAATCTTTTGTATTGGCAAATTAATTTTGTCTGCATTTACACAAAGTGGCAGCTACTAAGCGGAAATATTGTAATTCAATTTAAATTGAATATAAATATTTTCAAAAGCAAAAAATTATATTATTATTTCAATCAGAAAAAA